TACTACTCTCTCTCTCTCTCTCTCTCTCTCTCTCTCTCTCTCTCTCTCTCTCTCTCTCTCTCTACTATATATATATATATATATATATATATATATATATACTGCATTTGTTACAATTGTATCAATAAAGGTTTCATGAATGCTTTTGATTTAGGTGATGTTCATTGACAGTTCTTTGTTCTTAATGACTTTGACTGTGAGATTAAAAATAACGGTGACCGTTAACATCGTGTTTACAATCGTAGAAACATGGTAGACATAAAGGTACAATAACCTGCATATACCCAGTACATGGACCAGTGCAGGTTAGGTGCAGGTAGACAGCAGAAATACCTGCACAGCTCCAATTTTACCTGCACTAACCTGCATATACCCAGTACATGGACCAGTGCAGGTTAGGTGCAGGTAGACATCAGAAATACCTGCACAGCGCCAACTTTACCTGCACTAACCTGCATATACCCAGTCAGAAATACCTGCACAGCCCAAATTTTACCTGCAATAACCTGCATATACCAAGTACATGGACCAGTGCAGGTTAGGTGCAGCTAGACATCAGAAATACCTGCACAGCTCCAATTTTACCTGCACTAACCTGCATATACCCAGTACAGGGACCAGTGCAGGTTAGGTGCAGGTAGACCTCAGAAATACCTGCACAGCTCCAATTTTACCTGCACTAACGTGCATATGCAGGTGGTATTTCGAGCCCTGTACTGGCATGTACGTGACTGTATTGTTATTACATCTTTTAACTAGAAAGGCCAATATTTGCTTTGGAGCAAAAACAGCGATGGGTTCACCACATTTTACGACATGGCAGGGAAAGAATGAGAAACACAAGGGAAAACAATGATTTACATTGATATAACTATAATATGAAGTAACATACAACTAAAACAACAGTTGGATGGCTATTCCCTACTTTATTGGTTAGGATTTTTAATTGCATAATGCAAACTGTTGATTTTCAAAATAAAAAAAAAACGTTACAATGCCCCGCATTCCAATGCTGGAGCAGAAAAGCTTGAAATACCTACCAAAACACTTGAATAAAGACATACTGTCAGTATGGAAATGCTCTGTGCAGGTGTTATTAACAATCACATAAACTATGAAGCCATACATTGAATAAGCTATACATATAATATGATTATCATAACCTTTATTTTTAAAATCATGCCAGTGAGCTAATTGCATGTACAGAGTGAAAGAAAGTAAAGTAAAGCAGTAGAATTTCTGTACTAGCTATGATAGTACTTCATATGATTCGTCCTCATCGTCATCATTCAATGTGGTCTATCTCTTGCTACTAGTGACTGGTAATACCTCTGTAGATTCTTCACACTGGCAGAGTACCGTACTCCTTCTCTCTTGTCAGCTCAATACTTTTGTGACAACATCAAAGTGATTTTAGTTTGTATGTTGGAAAAATACAAAAGACTAACATTCTAAGTTATTGACATCCTTGAGTAAGAACAATCTGTTTTTGAATGTTAAAAGCAAAACAACGAAAATAAAAAAAAATGTTGAAATTGTTAAAATTGCAGAATTGTTAAAATTGTTAAAACTGATAAAATTGTTAAAAATGATAAAATTGTTAAAAATGTTAAATTGTTAAAAATATTAATGTCCGATGCACTGGGGTTCGAACTTGCAATGCCTGGGATTGCCGCCTTGCGCGTTTCCAACCGAGCTAACTCGGTGCGATACACATCACTCACTGCATTGTATGTCGACGTCATAAAAAGTAAACAGCATGGCGGTATCGATCGCTTCAAGGAACCAAGACTTTCAACTATTAACTACGGGGTTTCCTTCTTTATCAGGTTTGCTTTTGAACCACCTTGATGTTACTTAACTATCAACCCGGCTAGCAGAAGCCGCCGGCTCCTTTAATATTACAGCCGCTCCCTGTCCAATCTTCGAAAACTGTCGGGCATGCAAGCCCTCGACGCTCGCCAGGAAGCCGTCTCGCGATGTTCTCAGCAAGAACAAACGAACGCCTGTACACTCTACAATTTTGGTGATTCTTCGGAGATCGATAACAGAACCTAGATAATACTAGTTGGTAAAGATTGCGGAAAATTGTTGATACCGTGGCGCGCGCGCCGACGATACACATTACGTACCGCGTAACTTTTTTGTTTACACGCCGGGCGCAGGTCATTGACCTCCAACTTGCGTTGTTCCAACAGAGAAGAGCAAAATGTCTGGCTCCCGCAGAACGTACCGCACTCTCCCGCTGGACGTACCGCACTCTCCCGCAGAACGTATCGCACTCTCCCGGAGGACGTCCCGCACTCTCCCGAGGGAAGTCCCGCACAGCGTCCTGCACTCTCCCGCAGAACGTCCCTCGAAAATCGATGCGTATTTCGTGGCCTGTGCTGTACCTACCAAAACACTTGAGTTCATACTGTCAAAATGGAATGGCTTTGAACAGGTGTTAATTGAGTTAATCCAATCAAATCCAACAGCCAATCAGCAAGAAGAATAGATTGGTCTGCGTCAGGTTCATGCTTGCATGCCCATATATGGGCATACCGCCGAATTCCTTTCTTATTACGTCACGCGCGTACGCCCCCACAGTACTTTCCTATGGGGACCGCTAAAAAAGCAAATAAAACGATTGTAAAAGCTTGTATCACAAAAATTTAAAAAACGCCTAGGGGTATTTGCCCACTGTACCTCCATACCAAATTTCAGGACCTTGGGCCCTAAAATGAAGAAGCTGAATCCATTTAAAAAATGGCAGGAGAAGGAGGAGAAGAAGAAGAAGAAACATCAGAAAAAGCAATATGGGTTCACCACCACTTCGTGGTGTGGTGAACCCA